ATTATTAGTTGTTTTTTTTTATTTTTTAGATTTGATCGTATAGTTTAAACAACAAATACAACAGCCAACAAACTTCCAAAAACAAAACAAAACATTCTTATTCAATGAATCAATCAAAAATAACTAACAGCAAAAACAGTAAAATAACAGACAACTGTTATACCAGTTGACAAGTAAAACATTCACAAAACATTATATATATATATATATATATATATAGAGAGAGAGAGAGAGAGAGAGAGAGAGAGAGAGAGAGAGAGAGAGAGAGAGAGAGCACTCTGGTGGGGGAAGCCGCGAGAGTGCCCGACGGACCCGTTGCATGCAGTCACTCTTCACACCACTAGGTGGCTCCAAACAAAAATCTCATAAACACTCATTCTGATCAAAACTCACACAGACACACAAGCCTTTCTCTGTTACACTGGATTTTGATTTGACTACTAATTTATTAAGCATATGGGTAATTTAAGTAGGTAAGATAACTTGACAATATTTATACATAAACATTCATAATTAATATCAAATAGTAAACATTTGAAATGTAAATATTAATTTGAAATGTCCAAAGTTAAAGAACTTAAGTTAGTTAATTTGTTCACTTCACTTAGCACTTTGTGGGTTGATGCACAGTGGTTTATTTTTGTAGTTTGCTTAGTATTTTCTTTGCATACTGTTTAAAATGAATTTATGTACACCCAAAAAATACGGGTTAATAGTGTTACTTTTTTCTCTCTTTTTTTGGAATTGCTTAAAGGCTTTTACCTGCTTCTGGACCATTTGTAAGAGCAGTGTCCTGACACTGATAAATAGATGGAGGATAAACAAAGACAAATACTTGGTCCTCTGGGTGGAATCCAGTTGATAAAAAAAATCTACATTGAATCCGTGCCTTTTTAAATGGAGAAACTGCACAAAGTAAAGGAGAACTTGACCATCATGCGGTAAGATTTGTGTGTCGATTGCACAATATGAACTGAATGACTAAGAATGAGTACTTCCAAATTTTTGTCTTTACCTCAACACTTAGATTTGATATTTATTTACAGTTGCGTGTCCCAGTGATAAATCATCCCAAAAACACATTGTAACTGCTTTTGGGAAGAATTGGGAAGCTTAATATTAAGCTATCTGAACTCCATTAAAAATGTATGGATATTGCTTAGAAGCAGGGTTCATGCCAGCACACAAAACAATGTTAAATAAGCTCTGTCATTTTTGCTAAACAGAATGATCAGATATGTTTGGTGACAGCTAGAAAAACAGTTAGGGTGAAATGTTTTGGACAAGAAAAAAAATATATTAGTAAAATTGTCTGCCCGATTACTTTCATACTTAGTGATTGTAGACCTCTGCAAGGAACTGTTGGACACAATTTTCACATTGTATGCACATTTCCTAGTTTTTTTTTTTTATTCCTTTGCTGGCACACCAGTAAGGTCACATTTTGAGTCTTGATTATGTTCCAACTTCATCAGGCGTAAGCCTAAATTTGAACTGATCTTGAAGGTTTCTGGTGTACTTGGAGCATTTGTCTATGCCAGCTGTAAAGCAGCTTGTTCACCCTGACTTCTTACCTGCCAGCTTTTCTCTCTGCCAGCAGATTAACCTGTTTGCTCTTCAGCAGAACCCCTCTTATGCAAGAAAATAAAAAGATTTTCATCCTTTCTGAAAATATGTAACACTCAATTGAATCTACTGAGATGAAATAATTGTCAATTTTGTCTGCCTCCCACATAAACTCAAATTATGCATCTCACTGTTTCTTTAAAGAAAAGTCTTTTTTTCCATGAAGATGCTTCCTATTTTCTCTCTCTTTTTTTTTTCTTTTTACCTGTGACTTGTTTTCCATCTGACCTGGTTGAGCTGAAATTGGGAGTATTCCTACCCTTCATGGGTTAGTAAAGTGGAAAATAGCGTGGCACTCTCACAGAGCTTGACTGCATCCCACTGATTAGAGCAATCAATCGAGAGATAAAGAGGAGGAGGGAGTGCATGCGTCCACGTGTTGACAGGAGGCTATTGTGACTAAGCAAAATAGACAACCTCAGAAGACTCTTCAACACACTCCACCTTTCTCTTGTACTTGTGAAGTAAAGAAAACAACATTGCATCAGATTCCAGCAAAAGCCCCAATCTGTTCCCCAGATTTTTTGTAGTGTATGCTTTTCACAGGTCAGTCAATAGGAAGATTTGATTTGACATCCATAGGTCTCTGCTCTCTGTTGACATACCTGTGATTACCTGTAATGCATTACTGTTCTACTACACTAAGATGTGTGGCGCACGGGTCAGGGCTATAGACCAGTATAGCACATTATTTGATGGATGGAGCAATGAAATGTTAGTTGTTGTTTTTTTTAACAGTCATACTTTGTATGGTCTCAGAATAAAATATCAGACATTATAACATTATATAACACTAGGAGTTGCAAAGTCCAGCTAACGGGTCACATTTAATCTTGAATATTACACAAACTATTTAGAAACTCATCCTCTGATGTCTGTTGAATCATATGGAAGTAAGTCTACTGATCCCGTTTTAAATGCTCTCATTCAACCGAATGACTTTGGGGAGTGTAATGATGCAATCCGAGTTTTTAAAGAGAGATGCGTTGCAAGTCAATTTGAAAAAAGCCATAGAAACCCAAAGACCCAGCGACAGACAGATGCCTCTACACTTTCATTACTGTAGCTTGAGTTTATCAGACAGACTCAATTTTCTGACTGGTCTCCCTAAAGCACTGGGAGGCAACACAGAAACATTCAGAGTTTTGAAGCTCTGGTGCGTGTTGTGACTTGACAGTCAAGCGCTGGCATGAATTCTGTGCGTCTTCTGAGAGTGATATAGTTGCTGGCAAGGGAAGAGATTAGGTTTTGAAGTCAAACACTTGGACTGACAACAACATATTCAGTCTGTAATAAATCACTAAGGTGACCTTTAAAAGACAACTCAACAACTCCTAATACTATAAGTTCAGACTTAATGCAAATACTAATATGATAAGGAGCAGATAATTTAAAAAAGAAGCTGTCAGTTTCCTCGCTGATATCTAGTGCTTTTAAGAAAATTGTAATAGAGTCAAAAGTTGGCTTGTAACAAAACATTTTCTACCATAAAGAAGTTTCAAGCACCAAGGCCAGAAGTTTATAACTCAGCAGTCATATTACAGTCTTTTTTTGAGTAAATCATTCTACAGAAGCAGTGTTCAGAAAGATGTTGAATTATTTATTCTTGGTAGTAGACTCTGCGTTAGCTACTGTTTTATTGCTGCTGATGCTGAGCAAAGTTTTTGACACTGAAGACCAGACTGGATAGACCTCTGAATAGTTTAGCTACTCAGGTCAGGTTTAAGGCTTCTTGTTCTTTAAATGGGGAAGGACACCTGAACCAAATGGATGAATTGCCTAATCAACATGACAAAGTGACCTTCAAAGACTGGAGGTGAACAACCATTTTTTAAAGTGATCATTAACTGTAAAAAATATTAAACCCGCCACTGTATTTTTCCAAGCTGGTGATGCCCCATACATGTGCACTGAGTTCCCAGGGCAGTTACTTTGTCCAAAGAACTGTAGGCAAGGTTTCATTCTTTCTTTCTTTTCCATTGACCCTCAATCTACCACTATACAGAACAGTTCAGCCGAAATAGTTTAATAACCTCGTCAGATGTTTAAATCTAAAGTAGTATTTAAATATTTCGAACATTTTTTTAAAATTTTTTTTTTTTTTTTTTTTTTTTTCGACTGGAGCTAATATTAACAATTTGAAGTGTCCCAACTATTGAGTCCTGACTTGAATTTAAGAAAAAACTTGTAAAGAGAACCAAGACATTTGTTTTAAGTAAAATGTTGATATACAGATAAGTTTTTCATTTTTAAAAATTAATACTCCTTTTCAGTGCTGAATTATCTTTTGAAGGACGCTTACTTCCGATATGAAATAAGCTTCTTATTGAATAATTTTACATCTAACATGATAAGGGGTATGAATACTTTTGGAATTAAATCTATACAAGACAAGAAAATGGTCAGATAATAAGCTAAGTCAAAATTAAAGATGGGAGATGGGCATGTCAGTGTTTCATAATTATGTTGTATTTCAAAACATTGTTTTTAGCCTTATTTTAACCCTTTTTTGTTAGAATTGTTATTTTTATATATATTGCATTTTGAACAAAGTTATTATTATTGTTTAATTTGCACAACCATTTAAGACCACACTGCAATATTCTGTTCAATCTTGGACTCATTACAATATAAAATGCTTTCTTCTTTTTTTCATAATGTTGCATTTATTTGCAATGCAGATTACTTCAAAGTTCAAGGGCTAAATCTGACATCAAAGGCAAGAGCGAGATGAATGAGCAGCAGGCCACTCTGTAATATCTATTAACTAAACAGTTAGCATCAGGAATAACAAATATCCTTATTTTCTTGTAGCTTATATTCCCTATTGTTCCATCACATATTATTACCTTTGTTTTAGTCTGGCCAAAAACATGGAAGGCTATCTGGGTTAGGTTTTACATCAGCTTTTGATGATAATCCAAGCACTAACCAGCATGACACAGTAAAAATAATCAACATTCTCCCATTCATGTGGAAGATTATTTTAATACATGTTTTATTGTATTGTTGTATTGTGATTATTTTTTTTTTCCAATTGTTGGCCCAGATCAGGCACATAATGATTTGTACCACTATTATTAAACCACTATTTTTATTTGTCCCCGTGTTTGGTCAGTCATTAGCTGAAAAATGAGAAAAAAATAGCAAATCAAAATGTTATGATTCAGATAAGTTTCTGTGCTTCTAATTAATAGTGCATCATCTGTTCAGCAATTATAAACACAAAGTTAAAGCTCAATAATCTGAAACTTGGATTTTTTTTCTGCATGCTCTGCAGTTGTTCAGACTTTCCATTTTAGCTATGATTAGTTCCCTAAATATGCCCTCATTGCTCAGAATTTAATTTGAGCATAAAAACATGAACTAATTGTGTGCATATTTAAAGAGACACTTTAAAGCTCTTTCACAATTCTTTAATTCATTACTCTGTCCATCTAATGATTTTGTTCACTGATCTCTGCTTGAAATGCTGAATCTTCCCTTCTTTCCTCTTGATCTCTCCTCTGAGTTAAAAATGGATCACTCTGGAGGCATTCTGAAGACGTTTCAGGCATAACCCTAAACCATCTGAGCTTAAGGATTAAGAGCATTAGTTCTACTAATTTTAACTGTGTAGGACAGTATGTCTTGCATGTGGATGAAAAAAAAAAAATCCATAGAGAAGCACGATAGTACCCTTTTTTAAGATTGCTGCTTGCTGCTGCCAGTCTAAATACCAATGCTTTTCTCTAGAACCTTATTTTCTAGTCTGGACATTAATGACAAAGTTTCAAAAATACATTTTAAATTGCGTTATGATGTTTTTGGTACGTAGCTTTTTTTCTTGGGCCATTCTTTAGTTTTTTTACAACCGTTTCTGTTTTTGTTTCGTTGGTTGAAGAACTTGATAAACACCAGAAGATTAAGACTGTGAAAGATCGTGAAACCTGATAATTGTTAAATAAAAATATGTTGTCTTTTCATGACCGTTTTCTGTTTCTAAATTATTTCTATCTTGCCCATTGTCCTATTAATCAAATTATTAGTTACTCAGTTGAAAAATTGTAAATAACTTCAAGTCAAGCACCTCTGTGCCTCCAAATGACATACATTAGTGGTACGAGCCATGTGAAAATCCACCTCCCTAGAACACTCTGACACATCAGATATTAGCTTAGTTTTACGGTGTTGAAATGCTGAATAAAACGAGAAGACCAACATTAAAGATCTATTGTCTGCAGAGTACATGCAAATGAAATTAGTCTGAAATGTGGCACATCTTATGAACAGTAACGAGTGTAGATGGTTAATATATGTGTAAAGATGTGATATC